CCAAATCCTCCGGGCTATATGCACGGACATCACACTGCTACTGCCGCTTACCCGCCAGTCCTCCCAAACCACACACGTCAAGTTGTCCAATATCCCTTGGTGCTACTGCCGCCGCCGCCACCGCCGCCGCCGGCAGCAGCAGTCGCAGTAGCGTTGGTATCCACGGGTTGAGTCTGATGAATAGTACCGCGGACGCCATCGTTAGCTGCTACTGCTCCTGGGCTGCTGCTACTGCTACTGCGCAGCGGCGGCGGCGGCGGCATAGAGTCCGACAACTCCATCGGCACCGCCCGGTCCGACCCATCGGTCGGTAACGGTGGCGGCGGCGCCGCCGCCGCAATCACGATTTCTTGTGGATTCGCATCCGCTGCCTTGAGAGCTGATAGCATGTCCGCCATTGTGGTTTCGGAGGCCTTGGCGCCCCGCAGTACATTGATGGTTCCGGAGCGGAGCTGTCGTAGTCCCGCGACCTCCTTCAGAAGCCGGTCTTTCTTGTCCCCCATCACCAACGTCCGTTGCTCTCGAAGGTGCGCTGTGATAAGAATTCGTTGGTAGTTTTGACAGTTGGGAGTTGGTTGTGATCGTTGCAGTTGAGGTTGCGTACAGGGTGTTGTCGAAACCCTTTCCTTCCCTTCCCCCTCTCTTTCTCTTTCGGCCCCTCTCTCTTTCCCCCCTTCTCCCGCTTTTTCCCCCCTCGCTTTCCCCCCTCCTCCCGCTTTTCCCCCCCTCTCTCCCCCCTTCTCCCTCTTTCTCTTCCCCCATCTCTCCCCACTTTCTCCCTCTCCCTTAGCGAAACCAATCAAACTCACCAAACGTCGTCGTTAAATACTCGAGTGCCGTACCCGCTCCACCCTTGGAGGCCGAAGAAGGGCCCTTGGTGGGGCTCGGGCTTCCGCTACGGCTACGACCGCCGCCGCCGCTACTGCTGCCGCCAGCGTCGGCTGCTGCCGCCGCCGCGTTCCCACCGGCCACTGCTGCTCCTGCTGCAGCCGTCGTCGCCGCCGCCGCCGCCGCAGTAGCAGCCGGCGGTGCCAATGTTGTGGTCGGCGTCGCGACGGCTGCAACCCCACCAGCGGCGCCAGTGCCGCGCGGGGTGTCGACGGCGGACGGGGAAGCTGCCGCCCCCGCCGCCGCCGCGGCAGCAGCCTCCTTCGCCGCCTTGGCCACTTCCAGAGCTTGCTGCCTCGCCATCCAGCGCGCCAGCACGGGGTCCGTGGATTTCAGATGCGAGGCCAAATGGGCCGCACGCTGAGGGGAAACAAACCCACAAACCGCACAAACCGACGGGGGAAATGTACGACAAGACGAGCCGAGCGAGGGGGAAAACGGGGGGAGGGGGGAAATCGCGGAAGGTTATACATGTGCAAGAACTAACTAACTAACTTGAGAAGTCAGAAATAGCCGAGTCATAAAACGGGGAGTGAGTCCTCAAATCAAAATTGAAAAGGAGAACCAAAAGGTGGTGGCATGCACACACACACTTGTCATTTGTCGGTCTGTCTGTATGTCTGTATGTATATGTGTGTCTTACATCGTGCTCGTGGGGGTACGAACCCCACCCCATCCCAAGGTACCTGCAACCCGCCAAAATACGAGCCGAGGGCTTAAAGGCTGCCGGATCGCATCACCCCTACAAGCACCCTCCTACCTCGCACTTCAGACAAAGCAAGTGATCCCTGAAGCAGACTTGACGACCGTAAACAGGAACAATGAGACCATGCGGTGGGGCCACACCGCTTTCTTCAGCATCCTTGCCAGGACGTTCATAGGTTCCCACTTCATAGCTCGTCCTTCAAATGCTCGAAGCATGGGAAACCCAGATCAGATCTGATTTCTCGTCGTACACCGGACAGTCTAGTTTAAAGACGTGCTTCTGATCCTCAATATGGTGGCTATCAGTGCCGCAGCAAAGAGGCAATTGGGTTTGGATGGATGTGGCCTGTAATCCTCAGCCTCGATAGGGATGCCTGTGTGTTTCGTGTCTTGTGACGGCGTAGCCCCCCCACCCCTCGCCTTCTGTTTTGCCCCCCCCCCCCACCCCCCCACCCACACGCCCCGGGCTGATCCCCCCATAATCCGAAATGCCCACCCATAACGGGCCGCACACGATACCCCAAAGCATGCGTGTCCATCGTACATGTCATACATGCCATACACATACCTGCGCTACGCCACCGCCGTAGGATTCTTTTTTCTGCAGCGCCTCTACCATCGCATCCGCAGCCCGGAGCAAATCCGGATGATGTTGGGCTAACCACACATCGGAGATGGAGAGCCTGGGACGGAGCTGTTCGTACAGCTGCTCTGTCGTATAGACCTTTAGGGAGGGGGGATTGAGGATGGGAGGGGGGTCAGGAGTTATAGAATGGTGATGATTGTGATGATTGTGATGATGTAAGCCAAGAAAAAATCAAGAATCAAGTGCCGACTAGAGGGGAGGGCAGAGAGACGGAGGAACGTGGTGGTTAATTTAAGTTGATTGGCAGTTGGTTGGCGGTTGAAGAATAAACAGTTGCGGACGGTTGGGTTAGATGAAATATCGGTAGCATTCGTTTTGAGAGTTTGGCGGTTTGCGGGTTTAAGAGCGGGGGGGACGGGGTAGGAGGGGCTTGGGCGCGGGTTGTCTTCTCCGCTCATGCACGTGATCCCGGGCCGAGGTGGTGTGTGTGTATTGATTATGTGTGTCGCTCGTGATGGGTTTGCCAGGGTCCTGAATATGTAACGGGCCGCAGAAGCCACGCGAATGTAACTGTACGGCAGAGGATGAAGTTGTACGGCGAGTCGATGGTGCGTGAAAGGACTGTATGCCATGCAGAACAGGACAAAAGCAGGAGCGCGCACATCAGGTGACTTTGAACTTATGTAGCTCGAACATAACATAACAAGGTCTGAACGAGCTTCGCCCAAGGCTGTGGACACGTAGGACTGGTGGAAGATATTGCGCCGAGGAAACCGTTCAAACAAACAACAAAATTAAAACAGTGAAAATTGAATGTTCCATGAGCAGTCACGAGCTACAAACAAAGATGAGAACCTTCCCTACAGGCAGCCTGACCGTTTGTTTGCGAAGACAAGGGTTGTGCCTTCTTTCGCACTTCCAGACACGCAAACGTCAAAATTGGGCACCGCAGATATAGGAAAGCTTAAGGGATGCAGTATCTGCCAGATCTGCTGTGTTGCGGGTACCGCAGTTGCGACAAAATAAGTACCGCTGTCAAGTACCGCGCGGCATGGGGTTGCAACGCACAGGCCACCACAGCGCCTAGGGATTTTAGGCATGGTGTACAGCAGGCACATGAGAGCTTTTAACGGAATGGATGCCCGCCGCCAGTACTCCCTCCGGCCTTGCAGGGATGCGGTGCCTCGGGGAAATGACGCGTGGCTCGCGGAAGCACCCGGTCGGCAACTGACCAAAACCATTCCAAGAAACACGTCATTGCAGATAGAATGGGTCGAGGTGGGTCGCAAAGCGCTTAAGTGTTGCCTAAACGCGACGGCAAACAGCGATGGGGGAAGAGAGCATCCCAGCCACCAGGGGTGGGTCGGTGAGCCTAGAACCCGTCCGCCCCCACATGCGAGCACATAATGACCCGCCCGACACAAGTTCAGATGTAAGGGCGCATGTTTCACCCCACCGCGGCGGCGCCCGTTGCGCAGGGGTGATGGTCCCGACCCATTCGCACCAACCTCTCGTATGCCCTTCATCTCTGGGCCAGCTACTCAGTCCGCCAGCGCTCCTGCCTGGTCTAGTCAGAGGTGGTAAGGTAAGGCCTTGGCCGCCACGGTGTAAGGCTGTAGGACACCCAAGTAGGTGGCCCTTGTATTCTTAAAAGAAGACGGTAGCTTAAGGCTGTGTGAGACTTCCGGCGTGACATATATATTATATGACTGTCAAATCCGGACGCTTTGGACCTGGAGAGAGTAATGTAGGATGCTGCACAGAGCGGGCGTCGTACGAAGGACCAATAAATCTGGGCTCCTTTGTGGTCCTTCGAGATTATGATAATTTGCAATGTGAGACAACAGAGAATGTAACGGCTACAATGCGCAATCGTGTAGGAAAATTAAATGTATGCGTGTGAAAGAGAGGAGACAGCGTCCCAGCGCATATCTCTTCCGCGTCAGCTGCGGTGAAGGCTTGTACTTAGGGCAAGTTGAATTGGCGCACAGAGTGCAGATTAGGCTGTTTCAGCAGCAATGACAGGGCCAGATCGTGTGAACTTCCTTTGTCAGTAGTGCTCAGCTTACTTGAGTGCAGTCCCTGTTCCGTGTCCCCTAAAAAGAACACCCGCGCATCCCCTCGCAACGCCAAGATTTGTGCACCGCAACCCCAAAAGAGCACATCCGCGCGCGGCTTTGCCTCCTTGCAGACGGATTGAAACGCGCTTTCGAAAGTCTGCTCCTGTTGCAACCATTTTGCGGCAACCCAAGCCTGCCTTTTCACCTACTTTTTCACCTGCTGAACCAAACTAATTTCTCAAAAGCATAATTGAAGGCGCAAAGCGATGCAAAGCACCATGCAAGCAGCCTCAGGTTGATTCTCGACGGTGATCTCAGGCACGTATTGAGGGTTCCGGAAGGGTTGCCAACGACCGCAAACTTTGCCTTCCCGCCTTCACGTCCAGCTGTAAAGACACCGCAAAGCACCCTCAGCACAGATCAAACCACGGCATTCTATAGCATTCAGCCGGCCCCGCTTGAGCGCAGTAACTTCGGGAGGGACCCCTCGGGAGGGACCCCTCGGACCGCCACGCTGTCATTGATGCGCTTGACCCCCTTTTGTCATCAGTTCTTGTCTGGTGGAGGCGGATGTCTAGACCTCTAGATGCATCGAGGGGGGCATTTCCTTGGGTCAAAGTTATCCCGATGGCTCAATCCCGATGGTTGTGGTTTTCCGCGAGAAGGGTGGAGAAGGGAGGAGCAATTTGCTGAGCATCCGCTGAGCTGCGCAAACGCACCGATACAAGGCTGCGTTGCAGAGCAGACAGCAGATGCAATTCGAGGAGACCCTTACCGCTTTGGACACGCGCCGACATGAACGGCGTAGCTTGGCGGGTGTGCTCGCGTGTTTCAGTTCGTGCGCTGAGGAGTGCGTTTCTGTTATGTAAGTGTGAGCGCATGTGTATCACGGGGGCGTCGTAAGGCCATAAGGGTGCATGGAACGTTTGGTTAGGAGGATGGAAGATTGGGTACCAGAGCTCTGTTGGGTACCAACGGCGCAGATCATTCTGGACATGGCTTTTGGACTGTCAGGTGCAGAGACTCAACGCGATGGTGTGCGCTTACAATGTTTCAGCTGCTTGCTGTCAACGTGTCAGGGTTGATGAGGGTACGTCTGGAGAGGCTCCTATGTGGAAGAGCTTACATGTGACACCTGGCCATGAAGGCTGCACGAGGAACCCGTTTCCTCCGCTGCTGCAAACACGAGATATGAAATATGATCATACAATTCATGTTAAAATGCTACTCATTGACGGAAATGTGGACACACGGCAAAAGCACAGACAAACAGTTTTAGTGTGCCCCTCGCATATAAAACCCCTTTAACAGCATGAAAACTTGGCGAATTCCCATGTAAACACAAAAGAATGCTGCATACAAAAAGGCTTCAGATGCTGGAACAAGCCACAAAACGTCAGGGTGTGAATAGTAGTATAGAAAATCCAGGACAATTGTGTTAACAGAGAATAAATGACTTAAGTTAAACCGGGCAATGTACGGCATGCGCCGCCGCGGTAAGCACCAGGGCTGCCTTTCCAAGCCTATACTTTTGCATATTTCACCTACCTTCATCCGCCTATATAAATTTCTGACCCCTGTCTAAGGAACGCCTAACCGCCATGGCAGCGACTGTGCTCCTGCCCAGCGGCAGTAATGTGTCTGTTAAGGTCCACCCGGTAGTTCTATTCTCAATCTGCGATGCATACACTAGACGTAAGGAGAACCAGGATAGAGTTATCGGCACTCTGCTTGGCGTCGTTGCTGACAATGTGATCGAGGTGAAGAACTGCTATGTGGTACCGCACAACGAAAGCTCGGAGCAGGTCATGGTCGATGTTGTCCATCACAAGACGATGTTTGAGCTCCACCAAAAGGTGGCGCCGCACGAGTCCATCGTGGGTTGGTAAGCGGCAAGGACACAGTTCGCGCCAATCCCGGCGGACTTGGCTCTGACACGGAGCTCCACGTAGGTTCGCAACCGGCTCGGACCTCTACAACAGCGACGCATTGATCCAGGAATTCTACAGCAAGGAGTCCACACACCCGGTGGGTTTGCATCCCTGGCAATCTTCCCTGGGTAGCGCAGCGGGGGCTGGCGTGCCTGCTTGCGGATGGCAAACAGCCACACGGGCCTTCCCAAGGGGACCAAACAAATCAGAAAAACGCACCATGACTTGTTCCGTTCTTCACAGGTACACATGGTCGTGGACACGACGCTCAAAGACGAGAAGTTCAGCGTCCAGGCTTACACTTCGCGAGTCTTGGCATTGGGAGACAAGGTGCTGGCCACGGAGTTTATTGAAATCCCCTGCGACACCATCGTTGGGGATATTGAGCGCGTCGGAGGTGGGTTGAATGACGGGAAGGAACGTTTGGGCATTTGGGTTTTCGGCCGGGGGTTCTTTTAGCCCTTCCTGGCTGAGTTGCCATGTTTGACGCCGCTATTAATGGCAGTTTTTATTGAAGTAAATCAACCACCACAAGTTCCCCCCCGCGCCATGCCGCACATCAACAGCATTATAAAGACCTGAGGGTTTCTTTGTTTGACCCTAAGTTTGACCCGATATGAAATTTGCCAGCTCCTCTCCCAGCGCAAAACCCACCACGTCTTCCCGAACTTTGTAAAGTTGCAACATATTGCTTCCGCAGATTGTCGTCCTGTGACCCGTTTTCCGACACAACAAACAACACCCCAGCGTATAATCCTCCCTTTCCCGTCTCTCCTACTCCTCCCTTGGCAATAGTACCCCCCTTCTCTCTATCTCTCTCGTAAACCCCCCTCCCCCCTCCCTCTCAATAATAACACCCCAGCCGAGCTCATGCTGACCGGATTCAACGACCCCAGCCCGGACGGCCGCCAGAAAGAGACGGCGAACAAGTCGTTTAGCGACGAGACGGAGACGCTGGCAGCATCCATGGCGCGATTGGCGGACTTGGTGGCGAAGGCGTCGGACTACGTGGACGGTGTCATGGTGGGAGACCGTGGGGAAGCAGCCTGGGGAGGGAGGGGGAGGAAGAGGCAGCCTGCGGGGAGCGGGGGGGGAGAGGCCTCCTGCGGGGAGGAGGGGGGAAGGGGAAAACAGCCTGCGGGGAGCTGTTCCAAGGGAAAGGTAGTTTCCTTTGTCTCGAGGTGGACAAGGGTTTGGCCATTACGCACCGTTTGGAACTTGAAAAGCATTGTGGATTTCTTTTCGCGCGGCATAGGCGCGGATGCGGGGGTGTTTGGAGCCTGCATACGAGTTTTACTAGTTTCGCGCGAATGGGGATGTGTGCCTCAAAGCCCGGCGGGGCCATGGACGATGTATTGTATTAGGGTTCGATGTATTAGGCTAATCAGTGGCTTTGTGTTTGGGGGGAGGACCGCCGGGGTGGCTGATGTAGAGGGAAGTACACGCAAGCAGCAGCAGGAGTCAAGTGCCGCAGGGTTTACAGGGTCGGGGGCCAGGGGGGAGGGATTGAGGCCCCTACCGCCAGAAACTGGGGGAAAAGAGTGGGGGAAAAGGTGGGGGGAAAGGGCGGGAGAGGAATTGACACCCCGTGGGGTTTCCGAAGATGAAGCCACACGGCCGTTGGGGGTTGGCTTGTTGGGTAGATCTCTTTAAAGATGTACGCTCGCGCTCTCTCTGGCGCCTAGGTTTAATACGGCTGTTGTTCCTTTCCCACCTGTGACTCTTTACCCTGAAACATTCCCGCGCTTTCCCTTGTCCTTCCTCACCCCTTTTCGGAATTTGGATACCGGCAGTTCGCTTACCGCCCACTTTAACACATGTGATTCTCCCTTATTTATTTCGGAATCATCCCGGTCCATGTTTTTATGTTTTCTTTTGCAGTCTGGCAAGGTGGTGGGCGATCCTGCAGTTGGCCGATACCTCGCCGACACGGTGGCGCTGGTGCCGCACCTGGCTCGACCCGACTTTGAGCGCATCTTTAACGAGAGCGTGCAGGTGCGTGCAGCCCCCTTCTGCATGCATGCGCGTGCGTGTGTCTATGTGTCGGGCTGTCCTCGTCGGGCTGTCCTCGCGAAGGTCCTGATGGGGTGTTGCCCAAGTTTGTTTTTGTACAAGGGGAAATGTGGATGGCGTGGTATGCCGATCGTGTAGCAGCAACGCATACATCTGAGTGGTGAGCATAAGGTCGGTGGCACGCGAGCGGCTTCGGGGGCATTGGATGGCATTGGAGATTCGAGGGGAGAGTTGCCCTTACCACCCTTACCACAAGATCTATCTAGGGCTCTAGGAAGGGGTTCTGATAAGAGGTCCTTTCCAGTCGATTTTTGTGTGTGGAGGAAGTGATGATGTGTAGGTTCTCACAAGAGGACTGTGTCCAATTAAAAGCACTATGGAAGAATCGGCGCGTAGGGCCTGCTAAAGAGCATTGCTTTAAATAGGAGTCGGAAGAAAGCAGCACGGCACGAGGAAGGAGTGAAACGAAACAAGCAGTACAATCGCGTACATGTCCTCTAGAGTTCTGCGTCCTTGCATTCTCCCTTAGGCCACCTTTCCTCTGTGCGTGGTGAGCTTATAATACAATAAGCGATGTCCGAATACCGCGAAAGGGCAGGATTTGGTATGTTTAAAAACAACCAAAACGTTTTTGCTGTATGTTCGCGAATTTCGGTTTTCTTGCTCCCCACAGGATTCGATGGTGGTTACGTACCTTTCGGACCTCCTCCGTGCACACGTGGGCCTGGCCGAGCGTCTGGGTACGGCGGCTCTGCCCATCATGTAACTCCCCAAAAATGGACAAGCGCATGGCGGACGTTGCAGGCTGCGGAATGCCCTGCAGCAGCAGCAGCGACAACAGCACAGAACGGCACTGCACCACCGGACAGCCGAGGAGGAGGGGGGAAAAGCAGTGGCTACCTGGGCGGTACTTGCTCTGGGCGCACGGCAACGGCTCCTTCCCGTCTCGCGCCTCTGTGGGCAACAGGGGCGAGGGCGAGAGGGGCTCTGTCGGGATGCCGCTTTGCCCGGATGCACAGCAGAAACGATAGTGGTTTCGGAGCTAAGCCCTGCTGGCTGGTTTTGCAGCCATCTTCGTGCAAAGCGCCACGACACCGTCCATGCATGTAGGCTGTGCGGTGCTGTGCTGCTGCTCACGACATGAGAGGGGTAGAGAGATGCAGGGGCTGCTACATCTTAAAGGCAACGCATGGAAAGGGGGCGATCGTCGTCAACATTAACGGGCGGCTGTGGCTGCGGCTCCGGCAGGAGATGATGATGATGATGATAATGATGATGATGATGATGATAATGATGATGCAGGGAACGATCAACTGGGGACTCAACAGAGACGAATGTCCCCCCCGCACATTCTGCATCAGCGCTGCCATTTTTAGTTAGCCATGGAGAATCGTTTTTTGTGCAGGGGCTTACTTGCTCGCTATACTGCTGTCTGGATAAGCGCCTAAGTCCAAGGGCACGCCAACCCTGACATGTGTGACTTCACGTCGAACTTACAGAGCGCTGCAGTCTTGCTACTGCTTGGGCGTAGACGACGTGCCGACGTGCAAATGCACGACGCTGACCGGATTTGTTGCAGCAGCAGCAACAGCGCCGCGGCAGTAGCAGTCCCGAAGTTACGGCAACAGCAGAGTTGATGCTCTCTGGGGGGAGCTGATACCATCACTCCCGGGCTGCATGAATTGCGCGCTGCTTGGCAGTGGCAGTGGTGGTGGTGGTGGTGGTGCGGTTGCAGCAGCAGATGAACCAAAGTCATCACGCAAGGGGAACCCCTCCAGTGGTGACTTTCGCTCCCCTTTAGGGGACCATGAACTAAAGGGGCAGTGCCTGCCTTCTTACGGAAGCGGCAGCAAGGGCCAAGCGGGGTCCAGGGCAGTAGGGGAGGATGTTATGGTGACATTGGTGGTGATGATAATTCGAAGGGTCGAGAAGCCGCAGCGCGCCGCGATGGACCCGCAGCCCCGCAGCATGCCGGCAGAGACAGAGAGAGGTTCCTGAAGATGGTGTGGGGAAGGAATGCTTTCTTGACGGGGTTTCCACACCCCACCTCAACCTTGGGGAGTTGGGCGCTCTTTGAGGATGCCATAGTTTTTCTCGGCAGCGTGGTGTGTGGCTTGTTGTGGCTTGTGGTATAGGCGGCTGATGCACGTTTGGGGAGGGGGCAGATGTAGACAGAAGAGCCGTTCAGCGAGTAGTACTTTAGGACCGCTGCTGCTACTGCTGCCGCTGTTCTACGCGATGTCTAGGTGGGTTGGGGTGGAGCATGTGACCTCTCTCAAAACAGGGCTCTCTGGCTGCATCGATCTGTGTTATGTTGGGCTGGGAGCACCACTTGTTGGTAGTGCTGGGGGCCCGTGGGGGCTGGTCTTCACACTCCTGGGGAAGAGGTCGGAACAGCTCGGAACGGACTGCTGGCGGGGTCATGTCAGGGAAGGCGTGTGCCGCCACGCGGCTATAACGGCTATTCCCGACATTGCAGGTTTGGGGGGAAGTGTTGGGATAGGACTAGATTCTTTGGAGCTTGGCGACACCCTAGTGTATGTCGTGTCGTGCCGCGTTTTTAGCGGGGGAAGATCGAAACGGGGTTTTAAAGGAGATGGGACAGTATGCCCCGGGTTTTTTAGTGTGGGAAAAAGGAAACGGGGTCAACGGGGGAAAGGACGCCCTCCAGGGCGATATGAAGTTGCAGGGTGCGTTGTGGTTAGTGGTTTTATATGTTTCTTTAGGAGGACTTTTTGACATGGCGGGCATCCAAAGTTTTTTGAAGACTTTGGAACGCTATTAGGGCAGCGGCATGTAGACAGACAGAACCTACTACCCGCGAACGGGGAAGAGCGCGGCAGGGGGGATGGCGGTTGTGTAGTGGTGAGGCTGCTGCTGTTTGCTGCGGGTCGTGACCAGACATGGCAAATGTTAAAACTGGATTTTTATTAAAGTGTTGACAAGTTGTTTCCTCAGGTAACAAGTATGTCATTGATTTACATATATCAAATCTACACCAAAATTTTGGTTTGTTTTTAAGAACAACGTAACCTAGGTTTACCAAACCTTTGGTACAACTGATATGCTGAGCAAAATAAAAAGAAAAGAATATATACTAGAGATATTTTAGGCAGCGGGCCACTGGGCCGTCCCTTATGTGCCTGCAGGAGCGATACGAGGTAGGATTTAGGGAGGTGGAAGCACTGAGCGCCCTTTCTTTAGTTTTCAGCATTCTCCCCTTTTTTTCCCTTACGGCGACAAGCACCTGGGCCTTACCTGGGGTTTACCAACATGTGTGCGTGTGGAGGATTTCGCACTGCTGTCGTAACCGTAACCCCTACAGAACAGATCAGTCTGGGAGTCTCCTTTCTATTAGAGGGGGAATACGTGCTGGCTTGCTGGCTCAAAACGCGATATACCAGTAGTAGTACTGAGCCGCGAGCTGCTGCGCAAAAGTTACTTCTTGCCAAAAGCCGACATGAGGAAAAAGATGGGTGTACGGCAGTGTACAACATACGCTAAATGTACACACGACACAAGGTCCAAAAGGTGGCCTTAGTAACGAATGCCAGTGACTAAGTTGTGGAGCCAAAAGGCTGACATCATTGTTGGCCACATCACGTAAGGAAAGGAGATTATCGTTTTACGCTAGGAGCTCCAGGCAGACAGGGGCCAGGCTCCCACTGACTTCAGGCAAATTCAGAAATGCCGCAAAGTTGTATTATCCAGGGCCTACAGGATCTTACCTGCTCTCCTCTGGCCGTTTCTCCAAGCCGTTTTTCCCTCAAGAATCCCGAGGCCCTTTTTTCGCGCTTCCGTTTGCCTCAAATCCTAGAATTGTGCGTCTCCGCATAGTAGGGGATGATTTCCCTCCAGTCAATTAAAAGCAACAGACCGGGTGGAACGCATGAATGGTGCTTATGAATGGCGCTTTTCCACGACAAGACAGAAGGCATATGCGCTGACGACTTGCTGCGGGTTCCTGCCGCCATATGTCTCCTGCCGCTCTCTACTATACATACCAGTACTGTACGACATCTGTACGACACCATCGAATTCATTGATATATCTTTCAGGCGGCTCCGAAACTCTGCAATAATCATCATAAGGCATTTTCATTATTATTTTTCTTCGCAACGAGGCCCATATAAGAGCGGAGCGCCCCGCCCACGCGCCTGTGATTGCCTCCCTAATAAACCCCTCGACAACAACAAGGTCCGTGACGGGCGATCGGAAGACGGTTACGGGAGAGAGACTGTCCTTTTCCTCTTTTCTCCTCTATTTATCAAAGCTGGAAATTCACTTTTTATCTCAGCAATTGCAAATGCCCTTCCTCTTTTGCGCAACTATGGAATGATACGACGACATGACGAAGATGGAGATGATGAACTACCGTACTGCTACGAATTCTTCGCGCCACACCTTTCGTTTTGGGCCACGAAGTGTGTCACAGTGGAAAAAGCTCTATGGGGAAAATTATTTGCTTGTCGCGAAACTGTCTGGCACGAATGTGTCGTACGCCGTGTACATGGTGTAGATAAGCCAGAACTGGGCGTTTGGTAAACCGCACCTGACTTTGGTGCCGCACCACCGGGCCTGTCTTCTGTTCTTCTGCGTAAACATATAGTAAACGATATGTCCAGCAGTTTGGGAGCTTTGACGCTGTCGCTCCTTGTTGTGGCTTCCCTGGAGCCCCGCGAAATGTGTGTTCACGTAAACAAATGTGTGCCATAAATACTGACAGTCCTCGCGAATTGGTGTAACAAAACGAAAAATTCCAGCTACATTTCTGGGGTACCCACGAACGGTGTGGCGCGAAGAATTCGTAGCAGTACGGTATTCTGAAATTGCAGAGGGGAAAACACAAATCCTGATTCTTATCAAGTCTCTTGTGTAATGGCTCGCAAAATGGCAAGAATGCTACGTTAGTTAAAAAGGTTACATCCTTCTGTATGCTGCGGGCTTGGATTACGACAACACACCACAATACTCCGCCAACGCTGCGTGGATGGGAGGGCATGTGAAGGAATGTGCGTAGAGGGAAGGCCTTACACGTCGGGGCGCCACGATGTAAGAAACAGGAGCAGCGGCAATGTATTATTCGGCATTCCGCCGTCGCTGTCCAAAGATTCTCGTTCCTTCTCTCACCACTTCTCTTCTTACTCTCAACATCCCCTGCTTTTAGAAGTACGCAAAATACGCAAGTGTACGGATATACACACATCCTGCAGGGAAACACATACAGCGCAGCGCGGGGGGGGGGGCTCCTCACGACCAACTGCCCAACCAACCGTCGAACCATCCGTACCAACAGGCATAACCAACAACCGGTGCGACACTGCGCGGCAACGACTCGCCCGCCGTCCTACCACCGCGCAACTTCTTGGGAGGATATGATCTTCCTCCACAGACCAACACAACTCTTAACCCTCTTTAAACGCTGCGCTGTTTTTGTGCACACCATGGGCCACGATTGTTCACACATGCTGATGCGGATGATGCAAAAGAAGTATATCATGTCCAACAGAAGATAATTCTGGATCCGGATCTTCCGGATCTTCCGGATCCCTCCCTGAAGTGCGCCACACCCATAATCCGCCATCTCCCCCCCACACACAAAACACACACGCCACCGCCACAGACATGCGGCATGCGGCATGCTGCGCGCGGCATGAGCGTTCAACGCTGCCACGCTTGGCACACACCATACCGCACCGCACCGCACATGTCGCGTTTTCTCGTAGTATCGGCTTTCCCATCCTTCCAAGCGCCCAAACCCGCGCGGGTATGTGTGATTCTTTTTTTGGATCTGGACACTCAAGGATTCGTAAGTTGGCAGAAGAGGCCTTGTTAGTTACGTGCCAGCAACGACGACAATGGCGATACAGCACACCCGCACAAGCACGCTGCTACTCGTCCGCATGTGGGTTGGTGTTTCTGTATGTACATGCAGGCATGCAGGCATGCAATCACCAATCCTGCCATCAACATCATCATCATCATCATCATCATCATCATCATTACCATCACCATCATCGGGGTCATCATCATCATCATCATCATCATCAGCAGCAGCAGCAGCAGCAGCAGTCCGCTACCGTGCGAGAGCGACACACTTCTCCTTCAGCGAAATGAATGTAGCCGAACTATGCTGAAATGCCAAGCTAGCTAGCATTCAAAACAACAACCTCAACCAACCGCACATCTCCTGCCGTGCTTCCATGCAAATATATGGTAGGCTTCAACCGCGCAGCCCTCATGGCTAGGGCGCTCTCCCTTCCGTGACATCAATTGCTCCAATCCTTCGCCTCATCCCATTCTCCATTCCTCCACCCAAAATCCTCCGCCTCCACCATCAAAGCATGCACGAGATCCCCCGGTATTCCCGTGTGCCCTCCCACCGGTTCTCCAGCCCCCTCTCCCACCTTCACCCACCCTCACTGCTTCCCAAGAACACATACCACCGCGCTCCGAAACATCTCCGCCGTCCGCGGCCTGGACGGCACCAGCTATTAGCGTCGGCAGCCCACCCTGCTGCAACCATTTCACCCTCATCTCCGTCACCCTCATCTCCCACAGCGTCTTTGTCTTCGTCTTGTTCTGATTACCATCGGCTTCATGATCAGCATCAACATCACCACCAGCAGCAGCAGCGAGGCCCGCGCGCATCCCCTCTGGGTAACGCTGTCGTAACACACACACACACACACAACACGCGCGCACACACACACACATACACACACAACACACGCACACACACACACACACAGCCACATACACACCTCCCCGCACACAGCACGGTGCGACCTCATCTGACCCATCCCGGCGCGGACCAACCAACCTCGAGTTCGTTCATCTGCACTCGAATCCGCCACCCCATCGTCCCAAGCGCCATATCGAGACGCACCTTTCCCTTGGTAGCTAGACATCTGAATGGCCATCCAGCGCACAATCCGCAACCAACGCGGCCTCTTCGCCCCCCACAACCGCGCGACCATTCACAGCCGACACTAAATCTGCTCGGACCAATCCTCTTTCTCTCTCCCGCACCGACAGCCCTGCCTGAAGATTTTTTCAAGAAGACAGCAGTCCTCGTTTTCCATCGTACAGATTCAGACCCGGGCAACACCCAGATGCGATCCGTACACACGTGCGGTGTACGGCATTCGCGCAAAGCAAAATCGCTGCAGGGCCTGCTGGGGCTTTTGCCTTTTGCTTTTCTTTCACAGCCGCTTCATTGTCTCTCTCCCTCTCTTCATCCAAACATCTCAAGGTCGTCGTACCTCTCCATCCATTCTACGCCAACAACGTACATGATATGATCTTGGTTGGACCAACAGAGCGCGCAGCAACGTCATCCTCCGTATGCCAGCATCCGTCCGAGGACTATGCGAGAATCTCAACTAACCGCAACACCAACAACTCTGCCAACAAGTCTGCCGTACGCACATGTTTTGTTGATGCTACAGTCCTGTGACGCGACAACTCATTTTGAAAGATACTCATGACGAAATTCCTTTCTTTCACTATTCGTTCAACACACTTTCGCGACCTCCTCGTTCATTTAAAACCCACCCAACAAAACCTCGCTTCCATTGAAACACGAGAACATTTCAGCTTGGCAATTGCGAAGCGCCAGAAGCCACACCCGAGAGCATCAGAGCTTTTGACATTCCACCATGCTCACCATGCTCGTAACCAACCGTACGGCAGATGCCTGCCAATCGTACGACAGATGCCTCCTAGACGCGAATGCCTCCGCGAATGCCTCCATCTCCTTTCCACCGTCCACCGTCAGAATGGTAACCGGTGCGCCGCCCACCCCTTTCCCAACCCTAAGTACCCCTACCTGTCGCTGCCGCTTCTTGCCCCTTCTCCTCCCCTGCCCTGTACTGCTCCTCACCACTACACTACACGACACACGACACTATACTACACAACAACACGCAATTTCATTACCGAACTAAACTTAAGAATTCCGACCCGTCGCTTCGCTTACCAGCCACCAGCTACTAAATCGAATGCCGAACGTGAGGGTGCGGAGTCCTCCTCCGTGGACTCAAAAGGAAACACATTCGACAAAATGCCCCACCCCCCACCCCGCTCGTGATGCCCCCCTCGCCCATGTACTATCCGTACATTCGCGAATGTACGGTGATGATGAAGTATGTACAGCACTGACTTTTTTTAAGTCTTGTCGTTACGCTCTCCTGTGCGAACACACATCACATCACATGCCCCTGTGCACGTGCACGCTCACACGCTAACACGCTCAGGCGACCAACCGCCGTCAGAAAACTACAACCGCAAGAGGCGGACCTTGATGTGAGAGAGTGAGAGTGCGTGTGTATGTGTATCTGTATGTGTTGTAGAGAGAGAAAAGAGATATGTGCGCAGTGCAACGACGCCGCGACCAACCGAACCACAACAAGCACAACAAGAACCCACGTTCTGCTCTTTTTTCAACTCGCATTCGCATTTCGCGGAGGGGAAATCTTTGCGCGTCGTACCCGTACTACCCGTACCCGTACCCGTACGTACCCGACAAGACTCATGTAAACTGCTATACTGCTACAGTGCTGCTGGCTTTTTGCTGCTACTGCTACTACTACTGCTACTACTGCTACTACCACTACTACTACCACTACCAGGCACAAAGTCGGGAAGCGGGAAGGAAGAAAATACAAATATAAAGTATGCTGGAAGACGATTCTCCGCCCACCGCAAAAAAAAGACGCGTACGAACGCTTGCGTTCGCAAATCGAGCGGAAGGAAGTGGGCACATTGACCCATGGGGCACATGGGGGCCGCCCCCGAGCCACCAAAGGCGCGCACAAACACACAAACATACTCTCATTCATACACACATACAGACGTACATCTGTACAGACGTACAGACGAACAGACCAACGACACAACACAACACAACACTAAATCACACACCTAACCGCGCGCCGGCGACAAGCGCCCGCGTTTCTGCTCCCAACTAACAACACGGCACCGGATCTGGGCCTGCGCGTGAGAGCGCCCGCAATGTCCGGTGCGTCTGTACATTACCCCTTATTCGCACACACCCCGCGTAGTGCTGTGCCGTGCCCGGGATTGAGCTGACAGAGTCATGCAGCAATACGACATGAAGCGGGCGGGCGCCCCCCCCCCAAACCCCCCAAACCCGAAACAGGGCCGCAGCAACGTCACACGGCAATGTAGACGCCTTCTCTTCCTTCCTGTCCTCATCGTTCATCTGCTCGCACGGCGCCGCCGTCGTCGCCGCTACCGCTATACCGCCGCCGCTGCCGCCGCCGTCGCCGCGCCGTCGTCGTCGTCGTCGTCGTCGTCGCCGTCGCTCCGCACAGAACACGCGTAACGCATGCATTATCCAGTACTTTCAAACTTTCAAACCCCAAAGCCCATCCCCGCGTAGCCACCCAGCGCGCCCAGACCTCCACCCGTGCCAGCACCGTACGGCGCGCCAGCGCCGCCGGTACCGTACGGTGACGCGCCGTACGGGGCAGCAGCATGACCGCCGTGCCCGCCCAGCCCCATCGCCGCCAGGCCTCCCAGCGGACCAAAACCGCCGACGCCGCCGCCACCGACGCCGCCAATCATGTGCCCCAGCCCGCCAAGTCCACTGCCCATACCGCCGAGACCACCGACAGCAGTGGCGGAGCCACCGCCGCCGAAGCCGCCAAGGCCACCGCCAAGGCCACCGCCAAGGCCACCGACTCCGCCGACGCCGCCAACACCCTGGACCGCCGCCAGACGCAGCGCAAACTCCTGCATCTGCTTCTGCGCTGCGGCCTGCTTGGCGGTCTTGCCGCGTTTGGAGAGGAGCGTGTACAGGTAGGCGGGTACGTTTTGAACACCGTTGAGCTCTTGGGCACATAGCTTGCTGAGCCGGGTGCGTACGGCATCCGGTGTACGGATCTCCCGAATGGTGTCGAGGACTTTCGGGTCGAAATGCGTCCACCTGCGAGCCGTCATCGTCGAGGTTTTTTATTTTAGTTTAGGTTGGTTACAAAAGTAAAATGAGACGCGCCCTAGGATTATATTATTCTGAGACCACAAGAATATTTACACGGAATCTAGGGTTATAACCTAGGAAACTCTTGCCACCCAAACCAAATCAAGGCAAAGTTATATAGGGTGAGGCGGGAAAATGAAACGTTTAACAAAAATGTTTTAGCAGTTTAGCAGCTAAAAATGAGTTTTAAAAATGTGTTCCAAAAATGTGTTCCAAATCTGAATATCGTACGCCCGTATGAGAAGCAACATGAGGCCCACCTGAGGCCCTTGTCGCTCTGCACCAGGTCCTCCAGTACGGCAATTAAATCGGGGGTCAACTTGCGCATCGCGTAACCCTGTGGGTCTGCAGTTCACCGGGGAGGTTTTAATTAATTAGCAAGTAACACAATTAATTCATCAATTAATTAGCAAGTAACACAATTAATCAATTAATTAATTAGTTAATTATCAGGAAATAAATTATTTTAGCAAAGAAGAAGCTGAAAGCATAATTCCGCTTAGGACCAGTACCAAAATCCTCAGTACGAAAATAGCCCAATTTGAAAACTCGTTTACAAGGCTCCGGGCAAACTGGTGGGAGAGGTTGACATCGGTTGGAGAGGCCCAATGGCAGTGAACGACCATGTACTATAAAATTAAATTGGTTCATATTAAACAAAAATCATATTATTCTCGACGAGGGGGGAGGGGCGTGAATTGAAAATACACACGGCGGCACGGCGGCACGGCACAGCTGCGTGGGGAAATAGAGAGATGTGGTAATGGCATGGCAGGAAGTAGCAGTAGCCGGCGGTCGCACGGAAAGAATTGGAAGAAGCCTGGAACGGAAGCCGACACGAAGCCATAACACATATCACGACTGTCCGACGACCTGCCACTGCTGCTGCTGCTACGAAGGCATACTGCTGGAAACGAAGCTAATCCTTCTTTGCAACCCCTCCTCACCTTGTAATCACCAATTCTTTTCAAATTCAAAATCATTACTTGCATTTATTTGATTTGCAATCTGTGTCTCCCTTTATTTAAAAAAATATTTTAATTATTTGCTTAATTAATCCAAATCTTTATTTTACCCTGCCATCCCGGAAAGCCTTCCTCACCTTGAGCCCAGACCATCTGCTCGTAATGATCGATAAGACGAGTCGTGATGAAGGCTTTCATGCGCCGTACACCCTGTACGACGGGGAAAATTTTTGAAAGGAAGTGAGATGGGTGGGAATGGAAAGGTAAGGGCCGACACCGCGCGGTTTCATGTTCCCGACCCGGCTCCATGCATCCATCCACCCCCTCACCCGCTAACCCCCTCACCCGCTACCTACCACCCAGCCAACCCCTCACCTCACCTCCAGATTGGCCGCCGTCTCAATGGCGTGTAGTGCAGATACGGCACACAGCTCGCCAAACAACATCTGCAGCTGCAACAGCCAGTGCCGTACACCAGCGTCGAAATGCTCGGCCTGTACACGGGAGACAGAACATTGGATTGGGAAACGACCGTTGGATCGATATATTAAGGTAAATGTGAGTATGTGCGAGGGCCCTGCGTTTGCATTTTTGACTAATGTACGGCAGTACGGCAACCGCATTACTCACTCGCACGTGCGGGCCACACGTGTCAAGCACGTTTTGGATTTTTTCGCGTACGGCAGGACTGAGCTCTTCGAAGGTCTTGCAGCTGTATCCCGCTGCCGTGGGGTCTGTGCCCTGAAGCACAAGGCCGCCGCCGTTGCCGCCGCCGCCGCCGCCGCCGCTGCCCATCAGCATGTGTATTGCCTCCAATCCACTGGGCGTTGCGGTGCTGTGGGAATGCGGGCTGTTAAAGTGGCCGCCGCCACCGCCGCCACCTCCGCCGCCGGAGAGAGGAGATCCGTGAGACGGTAGCGGGCTACTCCACATGCCCGCGGCGGCGCCGTGCGCCGTCACCGCCGCCGGCGACGGCATCGACGGAGGGGACTGCAGACCGCTGCCAAGCGGGCTGCCCAGATGCGGGTGGTGCAACCCCGCCAGCATTGCGCCGTACCCGCCACCACCACCACCGCCGCCGCCGCCGCCGTGCTCGAACGGCGGCGGCGGCGCGACGGACAGACCCTCCGCCGGCAACATACCCCCGCCGCCGCCGCCGCCGCCTCCTCCAGACGCGCCCATGAAGGACGAGAGCAGCTGCGGATTGTGTGGAAGCACTCCATGAGGTTCGGATGCTGCTGCAAAAGTCCGAAGAGTACGCCGGAAGAGGATCTCGGAGGGTGAAGGAGCGTCGCCGGCGCCGTCGCCAATGCCTCCTCCGGGGCCGCTGGGCAGCGGCGTCGATCCGCCGCTGCCGAGCGCCCCGCGGCCGCCAGCAGCCGCAGCGGCGGCGGCGGCGGCGGCGGCGGCGGCAGCGTCCTCCAGTCGTGGGCTTCCGATGCCGACGGCAGAAGAGACAAAGCTTGGCAGCTGAATAACGCTCGGCGCCGAACGTGCTGGCGTCAGAGGTGCCACCGCCGCGGCGGCAGCGGCGGCGGCAATTGATGACAGAGAAGCGCCACCACCGCCGGACGGCGACGGCCGCGGGGGTGGCGGGGGCGGCGGGGCCATCGCCGCTGCTGCCGCCGCGTCAGCTAGCTGCAGCTGCGGCAACATTGACGGCGGCGGCGGTGGTGGCGGCGGCATGGACATTCCGCTGCCGCCAGCGGCCGCGCCGCTCCTAGGGGAGCTCTTGGCCGGCGTCGACGGCACGCTGGCGCTGCCGCGGTACGGCAGGGTTGACATGGACGAGGCGATCAGGCTGGTGGCGCACGTGCGAATCTCATTCCAGCCCCGGTGCGAGTCCACCTTAAACATCACCTCGACCGCGTCCTGCAAACAATAATGAAATAAGTTCAGCCAATCGCAGCCGATCGCCGCTCATTCAGACGCAGCAAAAACATTCGTGGACAACCTGAAAAACAATAGTCGTAGTCATGACTTTGAAAGTCATGCCGATGAAGAGAGCGTGGCGAAAAGAGCACGGGGGAAAAAGAGGAAGGGAAGGAAGCGAACTGTGTGTTTTGACCCAGATCGGGGTTGGGGGGTGAAACCCCTGTGCGGAGAATTGGTGGAAAGCTGAAGGGAAAAAAATCTGTAGCGCACTGCTCTCCTCGCAAGAGCCTCCTCCCACCGCGACAAACCTTACCTGCATCGGCAGGTTGTCTAGGAGAACCTCCTTGAGCATGTCCTATTGCGGGAAAGCGCGCGGGCACAAAGACGCGTGGCATTTTTTCAGTCAAAACAAAGAGAAGAAGGAAAGGAAGATAGGAAAAGATTTTCATGTTTGAAGATGTGATGTAATGCCATGCGATGTGATGGGACGTTCTGGTTTGTAGCCCGAGCGGACGCAATCGCGGCGAGAGGGTCGTCCAAATATAGGTGACGGAAAGGAACGAAACGGAAAGGAGCTGATGTTTTGACAAATCTTCGGTGGTGTGCGTCGCGTTGAGACACACGACAGGAACGCCAGGTTGTCAGCCGCGAGCTCTCAAACCTGCCAGCCAAACATCCGATATTTCGTTCACCATAACAACAAGCATCAATTTTTATATTTAAAAAATATAAGTGGAACTCGAGAAGAACGCACTGGATCGCTGCACCGCCGATTGCCGCTGATAGATAGATGCCGCTGCTTGGGAAAAGCGCATGTGTCGCGCGCGCACCCGCGACAACCCCTCAAGAACAATTCTTGTGAAACTGAGCTTCGTGAAACTTGTGTACCAAAACCTTGCCATCCAAACGCCAAGCGTAACCAAAGACACCAGCTTACCCTCACGGTGGCCTTGCAGACGTCTGCAACCTTGAATCCCAGATCCGGTGCAACGTCGCCGATACCGCTGCTGCCTACGCCGTCGCTCGAACAGCAGGAGCTTGAAGGCCGCTTCTCAGCGGCCGGTGCGTCCTGGGAAAAGACCTGTACGTCCAGCCGCGGCTGCTGGCCCGATCGCGGCAATCCGGGCAGCTGTGCCGCGGCTCTTGTGTCCTCTACCATATCCAAAATATGAGCGGTTTGACCGGGGTTTGCAATCTTGCAAACGCTTGCTGACTCCGCCCCACCCGTGGTATCACTAGTCCTCTTGTGGTCGGTCTCGGAGTGTAGGATGCTTGGGGCCTGCGAATCGGCCTCGGACAAGTAAAGCAGCAGATGGTCTGCTACGGCTTCCCCCACAGGAAAGTGAGGTCCTTCTTGGTTTTCACGATGTTTGTCAAACTCCATGGCTCGGGCTGGCTCGCGAGAGGTTGCGTCGAGGAAGCCCAGAACCGATGACAACGACGATTCCAACACGGCGCAGTCGAAGTCTTCTCCCTCAACGTCGGCGAGGTGTACTTTCTTATTGAGAACCATCTCCATATAAATGCGATCAGGACTGTTGAGGGTAGCCTTGATGAAAGCGCAACGTGTGCACGGACACCGTCTTCCGGCGACGAGCAAAGCCTTGGACGTCTTGTTCGTGCAGATCAAGGTTGACAGTTACTACAAGAGCCCTAATCTAAACGGCAATTGATTTTGATTTTTTTTGGTAAAACAACCGTTCGCGCGCTCACAACGCTTAAAGAGGCTAGGCTAACAGGCGCGACAGAGCAGTATTAGTAGCGCGAAGATGATTGCTGGTAGCTGTACAGAAGAACTAAATGAATTGATAACTGATGGCCAAACTTTGGAATTTGTGGACGTTTATGGTGGCCGTCGGGTCAAGTCAGTATAGTCCCATCGAGGTGGTTGAATTGTTTGGACGCGACATGTTGACAACCCAGAGGCAACTCACAACGGTTTGGATTGAGAAGATAAAATATTTTGTACCATATAATTTGTTCTCGTTTCTAGGATGTGTCCGCAGATAGGTTTGTTCGGCTCGCGTTGTCAACTAGCCAGTGCCTCATACAACCTCTGTCTTGTCGACGAAGCTTACTGTACATAAATTATATGCAAAGGATTTCATCATGCCAAAAGCTGCAAACTGCGCTTCGAGGACTCGGTTGTACCTTCCGATACAAGGTCACTTTTGACTTGTACCCCTGGCCTCAAGTCAGCCTATACTCGCAGCGCCCCAAGCCGCTTTGATATTCTGAATATCCATAAAATTCCAATCCATTTGTGACTTGCCTTTTCTTCTCTCCGTCTCCAACGTCTTACGTGGCCGCTCTCCATCTCTCATCTGTTTTACAACTGTTCCCCTGTCCTACGCGAGCCGGCTCGCTTAGGACAGGAGCGGAGCTAATCCTCAAGGGCCAGGACACCACCTCTTATACCCGTACCTTCTTTTTGATTCCAGCGAAAGCGATGCAACCTATGTTACTTTCATATATTCACCTGCCAGGGGGGATCTTTAATCTGGGTCGCTTTAAGGCCGCTCCAAATTGGCCTTCTCCCTCTTCTCCTTTGGAAAGGTTGCGGCCACGGCGAAGGCTGTCTCTAGTGCGTGGCCCACTCCACCGTGGGCCACGCACGATGGACGTGAGACAGACGCTACGACAGCCCCGCTCTATAACCCAACAAACAAATCACACCCACACCCACACAACACACACACATAGACTCCACATCGCCTCATGGCGGTTGTTCGTGCACCCACTTCACCCTGTTTTCGTATCGCGGCTCAGACTAATCAAAACATACACACCACACACAACCCACATCTGCCCCTATTCCTATTCCCTGCTGTTCAGCCTATTCGGACCCCCGATCTCCCACAGCA